ACATATCTATGGTCAACATGTAAAATCATATTTTCATTTTCTTTGTATTTCAAGAGTTTCTAGCCTTTGAGCAATCTTGAAGTTTGTAAACTTACTTTGTGAAGAGCCCCACACATTTATTTCCTTGAAGTCTGTGACACGTATTCACTATGAAAGAACAAGTAACAGAGGGCACACCAGCCTAGTGCCTTATCCCAGGGGTACTTTATTATATAAAAGCATAGTCACATAGTCACATAAAAGCAAAAAACATAGTCACAAACAGTGAAAAAATACAGCATGTCAGAGCCTGGTTCTGATGAAGAGGGGTTACCTTAGAAAAGGGTAAGCCATACACCAGATGGTGTCTTCTTGGCATTTGGATCTTTCTGGGTCACACTATCCACTGTGCCAAGAGTTGTATAACGGAGAGATAATAAAGTACTCCTGGGATAATGCACTAGGCTGGTGCGCCCTCTGATATTCTTTCTTTTACAGTTGTTACCAGACTTCCCTAGTCGTTAGAAGGAACTCCCATGGATGTCGTTGTAAAAAGAAGCAAGTGCGAATTGACCCTAGTCTACCACACTTATGGGCAGGAGGTGTTATATCATTTGATGTATTCACTATGCCCTGTGATTAGGAACTGCTGTACTACATATTTCACAGACCTGCCTTCTAAACTACAGAGGAGCTAAGAGGAGGAACTTTAGGAGGCAGAGTTAGTACAGAAATCCCTACTTGCAGTCAGCATTGTACCATGGGACATGTAGTCCGTAGGAATTTATAGGTAACAGCAGAGGAAAAGCTGCAAAGCATGCAGGGAATCTGGGAAGTTGTGGAAAGAGATGGCCAGCAGACAGGCGACACTCACAACATGAAGGGAGATTTTACAAGTAATTTTATATTGGATTGTCGAATATAGCTATTGTTCGTATTGTTTTTACAATGCTGATGTTATAAAATAAGAGGGTATGTTGTGACTATAGATCTCCTTTACCCACTTCCCTACTTCATATGACGTCCTCCCAGAACGGATTCCCCATGCGCCCTCAGCAGCATGCACCTGGCACTGTCTGTGATTGCTGTGTCCTTTGGACACAGCTGATCACATGACATGGTAAAAGGTCAATCACGGTGGTCTTATAACACATGATCAACTTTGTCCAATCACAGCTGACCACCATGTAAATACACTTGTCGGTTATTGGCAGCACTTTCCTCACGCTGTCACAGCATAAGGAAAGTACTGCAAATAATCGGCAACTGTCAAAGGAGACATCTACACTGATAATCAGGGCACTGATTATCAGTACCCTGATTATCAGTGCAACCCAAAAGTGCCCATCAGTGCTGCTCATCACTGCCAAGCAGTGCTTCCTAGCAGTGCCCAACAGTGCTGCCCATTAGTTCCCAACAGTGCTGCCCAGCTCTGCTGCCAATCGGTGCGCATCAGTGCTGCCAGTCAGTGCCACCCGTCAATGCCATCAGTCAGTGCTGCCAGTTAGTGCCCTTCAGTGCTACTTATCAGATGCCCATAAATCCGCCTATCAGTGCCATTCAATGCTGCCTATCAGTGCCCATCAGTGCCACATATCAATCCCACCTTATCAGTGCAGCCTATCAGTGCCCATCAGTGCTGCCTCATCAGTACCCATCAGTGCTGCCTAATTAACGTACATCAGTGAAGGAGAAAAATGACCTGTTTGCAAAATTTTATAATAGAAACAAAGAAAAACTTTTTTTTTCAAACTGTTTGCTCTTTTTTTGTTTATAGTGCAAAAAAATAAGACACCCAGTGGTGATTAAATACCAGCAAGTCTGTGCTCATCAGTGCTGCAAGTAAGTGCCGCCAGTCAGTGCTACCTATTAGATGTCTATCAATGCCGGCTATCAGTGCCATTCATTGCTGCTTATCAGTGCCGCCTCATCAGTGCCCATCAGTGCTGCCTATCAATGCAGCCTCATTAACACACATCAGTGGAGAGAAATTACCTGTTTGCTAAATTTTATAATAGAAACAAAGAAAATCTTTTTTTTTCACAATTTGAGCTCTTTTTTTGTTTATATTGCAAAAAAAAAACACATCCAGTGGGGATTAAAAACCAGCAAAATAAAGCCATATTTGTGTGAAAAAAATTATAAAAATGTCATATGGGTACAGTGTTGCATGACCGTGCAATTGTCATTCAAAATGTGAGCGCCTGGGCAGGAAGGGGGTGAAAGTGCCCGGTAAGCGAGTGGTTAAGTTTCTCATTTCATTCTATCAGAGTGTGTGACTGTAGTGTGTATGGAGATGGGGAGAAGGTGTGGGGGGTGACTGGTGGATGCAGCAAACCTCAGCAATAATCCTGTAAGTGCTGGCAGTAAAATACGTTCTTCCGCTGTCACTGAGCACGGCACAGTCATTGTATTTTACTGTTCCTATTTCTCAATGCAAGCCTATTTGTATGCTCAGACTCATTGAAATCAATAGACTTTCTATGTGACTTATCCTACAGTTAGAACAGCTGTTCTGCAGGAATAATGAATACACTCCCTGATAGATCTACTAGAGTGAAAAATCTACATTTCTGTAAATGATATACAATAACAAAAATATAGAACAGCAAAAAAAAAAAAAAAAAAGCCAAATGAAATCAAACAGCACTTTCATGTAAATGTTACCGCAGTAACTCACCGAATATAGTATTTAGAAGCTGGACAAAGCCATGTGAGAGGCACACTGAAAACAATTGAATTCATGATCACCATATGTGTTTACTGAGCTGTTATTGGAGCCGCCTGGGGTTCTGAGCAGCTGTTACTGGATCCAGCCTATTGCAGGGAGAGAACACCTGTATAGATAACAAGTTCCTGAGACAACACCTACTAATAGATATGTGAGAAAACGTCCAAATTGTGAGATTGTTCATTCACAAGCCTTTCTTTAACAAGAAGCCTTAATAACCTGATTTGCAGTGTTTTAATGAATCGACCTTAATTGTGTACAACTACGGAACTTGCTTTGTTTACCTTGATGTATTGTCAGAAAAATTCCAGTCTAGAAATTCAGACGGCCTTTTCAAACCGTTAGAATGGTTACTTGTGTACGCCGAGCCCGGTCTCTATGTGGTCTGTGCTGGCCTTTCATTCTCAGAATGTCTGAACTTTGTGTACAAACTCTATTCCCAGGGCTGAAAATTCCAGCATTGTCAGATCTGTGATGTCTGGTTAGTGCTAGTCCAGGACATTCACAACAGCCAACTTCCAGCTTTCCCTTTACCTAGAATTGTCTTTTTACTGCGTGCATTCTGGACCACTGGAATGTTTATCTAGGGGGTCATTCAAACTTCTCCATTCCCGTGTGTTGTGTTAACGCATGTGGGGCCTGATTTACTAAATGCAAATAGTCTGTGCACTGAAAGTGTAGTTGCTTTCGATCCAAGGGGAAGATCTGAAATGAGGTGAAGCTCTGCTGATTTCTTTCATCTATTCATGTGCAAACAAAAATTCAGTTTTTTTTTATTTTCCTAGCATGTTCCCCGTAGATCTAGAGCGCTGCCAGAGCTGCTTTTCTGATTTTTGCACACGTTTCACTCCTTGGTGCACAAATATGAGGCCTCTCAGCAGCTGGGCCTTGACTCCGAGAAGCCGCATATTTGCATACCCATTGTAAACTAACATGTATGTGCCCTACACCCTCTCAGCACATTTACCAGTGCCTTATCTCTACTTGTGATCCGGAGCTTTCCGATCATGTGACTGTTGTGACAACCAATCATGGCAGTCACCCCGCCACACTTCCTGGCATCACAAACCCCTTAAATGCCTAGGAAATGGCGGTGCCAAGCGATTAAAAAATCATTTTAGGCCTGAACATTGCATAAACCCCCCTAGCATTATATATTTTCTGAAAGCATACACCCTAGAGAATAAAATAGTGGTAGTATCAAGGTAATTTTTTATGTCACATGATATTACCACAAAGGTTCCCTTCAGATCTAGAGCAACTACACTTGCAGTGCACAACCTATTTCGCTGCCAGAGCTGCTTTTCTGATTTTTGCACGTTTCACTCCTTCGTGCACAAATACGAGGCCTCTCAGCAGCTGGGCCTTGACACCGAGAGTCCACATATTTGCATACCCAATGTAAACTAACATGTACGTGCCCTACGCCCTCTCAGCACATTTACCAGTGCCTCATGGAAAGGTTCCAATCTCTACTTGTGATCGGGAGCTTTCCGATCATGTGACTGTTGTGACAACCAATCATGGCAGTCACCCTGCCCCACTTCCTGGCATCACAAACCGCTTAAAAACTTGGGAAGCGCCGGTGCCAAGTGGTTAAAAAATCATTTAGGCCTGAACATTGCATAAACCCTCCTAACATTATATATTTTCTGAAAGCATACATCCTAGAGCAGGGGTCCTCAAACAACGGCCCACGGGCCACATGCGGCCCGCCGAGCCCATTTATCCAGCCCGCCGGCAGAGGCGGGACAGGAAGGGACACTAAGTACAAGGGCGGGCAGGGGGCTGCTGTATCTTACCTGACTCTGGTCCCAGTCCCACGACGATCCAGTCCAGGAAGCGCTGCTCCTTCATTCACTCTGGCCACTCCCTCACTCCTGCCACTCGGCTCCACCTCCTCACCGGTGATTGGGCGCCAGAACTGTAGGTCAGGAAAGGCACACAGGTGGCCAATCACCTGCGAGGAGGTGGAGCCGAGCGGCCCCACGAACATCAAGTGAGAGAGGCCGGAGTGAAGAAGGACAGATGACAGGTAAGTGTGCCGTGCTGATGGTGCTGCTGCAACCAGGTATGCTGGCTGCAGTAGCACCTAGGCTGGAGCAGGGGTCAGCAAGTTACGTGTCATTGGTGTCAGTGGGAGGAATAGTGCCCCATCATTGGTGTCACTGATACTAATGATGGGGCATTATTCCTCCCACTGACACCAAGGAAGGGACACTATTCCTCCCCCCACTGACACCAACGATAGGGCACTATTCCACCCTCCACTGACACCAACGATGGGGCACTATTCCTCCCCCCACTGACACCAACGATGGGGCACTATTCCACCCTCCACTGACACCAACGATGGGGCACTATTCCACCCTCCACTGACACCAACGATGGGGCACTATTCCTCTCCCCACGGACACCAACGATGGGGCACTATTCCACCCCCACTGACACCAACGATGGGGCACTATTCCTCCCCCCACTGACACCAATGATGGGACACTATTCCTCCCACTGACATCAACGATGGGACACTATTCCTCCCACTGACACCAATGATGGGACACTATTCCTCCCACTGACACCAACGATGGGACACTATCCCCTTCCCCCACTGACACCAATGACGGGGCACTATTCCCCCCACACTGACACCAACGATGGGGCACTATTCCTCCCCCCACTGACACTAATGATGGGGCACTGTTCCTCGAACTGACACCAATGATGGGGTACTATTCCTCCCACTGACACCAATGATGGGGCACGATTCTTCCCACTGACACCAATGATGGGGCACTATTCCTCCCACTGACACCAATGATGGGGCACGTTTCTTCCCACTGACACCAATGATGGGGCACGTTTCTTCCCACTGACACCAATGATGGGGCACGTTTCTTCCCTCTGACACCAGTGATGGGGCACTATTCCTCCCACTGACGCTAATGATGGGGCATGATTCCTCCCACTGACACTGATGGGGCACGATTCTTCCCACTGACACTGATGGGGCACAATTCTTCCCACTGACACCAATGATGGGGCACTATTCCTCCCACTGACACCAATGATGGGGCACTATTTCACTCCATAAGACACACTTGGGGGGAAATGTCTGTGCATCTTATGGAGCGGCCGGCCCCCAGTATTCCCGCCATGTCTCTGGTCATCTCCTGTACTGTGTCCGCATTTGTTTGTTTTTTTTTAAATTATAGTCCGGCCCTCCAACGGTCTGAGGGACAGTGAACTGGCCCCCTGTTTAAAAAGTTTGAGGACCCCTGCTTTAGAGAATAAAATAGTGGTAGCATCAAGGTATTTTTTATGTCACATGATATTACCACAAATGTCTAGGAAATGCAAAATGTCAATAAAAAAGAAAATACACTAAAGTTCATTTTAGAGCACAAATGCAATAAATTACCTAATATTTTGGTACAGTATTACATTTGAGGGGGCACCAAGTAAATACATGCGCAGGCCTTAAATATTTATGCGCCCCTGAAATAGTGAAAAACTTCAGTACGCTTTATTTTCTACAGGAAAGACTTTAAACCCCCTTTATAGGTCATGTGTTTAGTGTTTCAGAGGAAGTTTGGTGCTAGAAATACTGCTCTCACTTCAGGGTGCGTGGCGATATGTAACGCGTGTCACAATCTATGTTTTCATGCATTTATGATCATATGTGTTTATATGTGGGGGTGAGGGGCTGAAACATTTTTGGGGGGAACTTTATATGCTTGGGTTTAAATTTAATTTTTTTCAATTAAAAAACATTTTTTTTAACCTAACTTTTCATCAAGTAGGGGACAAAAAGTCCCCATATGATGATTTTTTGGTGACAGATTCTCTTTAATAGGACATCCAGGGTCTAAAAGATCCTAGATGTCTCCTCTGTGCTCCACTGCATGTAATACAATGCAGATCATATTGTAATACAGGTAATACAGGTGTAGAAACATACAATACCACAGTAAATAGCAGAAAATAATACTTGACACTCAATATAAGTGCTATATCAAAGAAAACCAACACTGAATCAGTTAGTAAATGCAAACTTAATATACTTTCACTCAGTACAGTTGGTAACACGCCAAGCATAAAATGTAGTGACAATGGCAACAACACAATTTAGCATACAAAGTGATTGACAGTAAGGACTAGGCATACAATGACATTTGGCATTCTGATCAGCATAAAAAGTAGCAAGGCCACCTCAAGTGCAGCAGAGAGCAGTAGAAAAGTGTTAATCTACTGAGTTCTGGAACTATACTGCCAGAGAGCATTTATGGTGGCAATGCTAGCCCTAGACTGACTGGGTGTGCACTGTCCAAATAAAAAGAAGGATGGTAGAAGAGGGGCAGGAATACAAAGGGGACTTGCAGATTGACTTTATGGGAGGAACCATCCTTTAAGATATTCTTCTATCAGCTATCGTTGGGGCACTTTAAGAAATATTGGTGCACCCAACAACAGTCTTAATAGACCAGCAAGAATTATAGGTGTTAATAATGGCCCTCTCTTCAATCCCTGAGATGCTGCTGTGAACTCTCTGATGATCAGCGGTGGGAAGCAGAGGGTGCATACTGTAGATGCTCTAGTCTTCCTGTAGCAACAGTGCAAGGCCAGTGATGTGGTTTGTGCTGCACTGCCCCGGGTGTTTTTGCTCATCATCTCAGGCTTGGGTCTCAGTCAGTCAGGTCTCCCGCTGACAGGTGAGGATACAGACAAATTTGCTTACCTCAACTCTCATGATGTAAAGAGAGCAAAGTTTTCCCAGGTTGTTAAGTAAAAATCATCTCCTTACTCCTCCCACTGCACAGTGAGGTTGATTTACTAAAACTGGAGAGTGCAACATCTGGTGCAACGGTGAATGGTAGCCAATCAGCTTCTAACTTCAGCTTGTTCAATTAGGCTTTGACAAAAACCCTGGAAGCTGATTGGTTTCTACAGCTGCACCAGATTTTGCACTCTCCAGTTTTAGTACATTACCCCAGTGTCTCTTGGGATCTGTAGTGTAGAGTCTATTGACCACATTGTTTGGCTGCCATCCTTGACTACAACTTCCATATTTCACAGCGCTCTGCATAGACGTCTATGAGCTTGCTTGGCTATAGCCCTCTCCCTGCTGGTTGGAGGAGGATGGTGCAGCATGACACCATTATCACAGTATTATTATATTATTATTATTATTATACAGTATTTATAAAGCGCCAATAGTTCACTCAGCGCTGTACATTACAAAGGGGGACAGAACATGTGACAGAACAATACCAATACAATGCAAAACATGAGGGGATCGAGGGCCCTGCTCTTTCGAGCTTACAATCTAGAAGAGGGAGAAGGGAACAAGAGGCAATGTCTCCTTCTCCATATTGCTGTAGCCCAACACTAGATTAAAATATACAGTATACTCTTCTTTGACAAAGGGGTGGAAATTGCCAGGGCTTAGTAGTGAAGTCAAGCCCAAAGTAACAGAGTGAATCTAGTTTCAGAAGGGAACACAGAAAAGTGTAGTTTGTATAACAAAAGTAATATCAGGCATTTTGTGGAATCTTAGATATGACTTTTACTTGTTTGAAACAGTTGTCATATTTTATGCAGTGAAAGTGGGTAGGTGGTGTTTTGGTAGCGCAAAGACTAGAGATTATATGTAGGTGTTTATAAAAGCAGACTTGTAAAATTATTGCAGATTTGTACATGCACATCTCATACTTCAGTCACTGCAGTCATAGCATAGCATAGCACCAAGGAAACCAAATGCTTGTTGCACAGAAATCTATAGGAAAAATATGGCATTTATCACTGCTTGAAAGTTCTTTTTTGTTGGACTGGTGAGTCCATATGTTGCCTACAGCTATTTTCAGGTGACTGTCTGTGCTACTTTACTAAGCTGTTTAATGTGAGTGTTTCAGCCTGAAAAATAATTTTTTTTCTCATATCCACTGACTGCACTACCTTATGGCCTCAATAAATTACACTATTTATTAAAAGCATTTGTGGCAGCGAACCACTTACTTCTTATTCTTATTATGTATTGGAAAGGCTCTTTATTAGTCTGTGGGTGTTTTCTTCTTCTTCCATTAGTTTGCAGAACTATCATAGATTTCCATCTTGCTAACAAAACTATATACGACCTAGAATATACAGTATATATACACTATATTGCCAAAAGTATTGGGGCGCCTGCCTTTACATGCACATGAACTTTAATGGCATCCCAGTCTTAGTCTGTAGGGTTCAATATTGAGTTGGCCCACCATTTGCAGCTATAACAGCCTCAACTCTTTTGGGAAGGCTGTCCACAAGGTTTAGGAGTGTGTCTATGGGAATGTTTGACCATTCTTCCAGAAGTGCATTTGTGAGGTCAGGCACTGATGTCGGACGAGAAGGCATTCTATCGGGTTGAAGTCAGGACTCTGTGGAGGCTTGTCAAGTTCCTCCACCCCAAACTCACTCATCCATGTCTTTATGGACCTTGCTTTGTGCACTGGTGCGCAGTCATGTTGGAACAGTTAGGGGCCATCTCCAAACTGTTCCCACAAAGTTGAGAGCATGACATTTTCCAAAATGTCTTAGTATGCTGATGCCTTAAGAGTTCCCTTCACTGGAACTAAGGGACCAAACAACCCCACACCATAATCCCCCCTCTACCAAACTTTGCACTTGGCACAATGCAGTCAGGCAAGTACCGCTTTCCTGGCAACTGCCAAACCCAGACACATCCATCAGATTGCCAAACAGAGAAGTATAATTTGTCAGTCCAGAGAACACGTCTCCACTGCTCTAGAGTCCAGTAGCGGCGTGCTTTACACCACTGCATCCAACTTTGCATTGCACTTGGTGATAAAAGGCTTAGATGCAGCTGCTCGGCCATGGAAACCCATTCCATGAAGCTCTCTACACACTGTTGTTGTGCTAATCTGAAGGTCACATGAAGTGTGGAGGTCTTTAGCTGTTAACTATGCAGACAGTTGGTGACTTCTGCACACTGTGCGCTTCAGCATGTACTGACTCCGCTCTGTCATTTTACATGGCCTACCACTTTGTGGCTGAGTTGCTGTTGTTCCCAGTTGCTTCCACTTTGTTATAATACCACTAACAGTTGACTATTATTATTATTATTAGTAGCAAGGAAATTTCATGGATAGACTTGCACAGGTGGCAACCTATCACTGAACTCCTGAGAGCGACCCATTATTTCACAAATGTTTCTAGAAGCATTCTGCATGCCTAGGTGGTTGATTTTATACACCTGTGACCATGGAGGTGATTAGAACAATGATTTGGAGGGGTGTCCCAATACTTTTGTCAACATAGTGTATATATATATATATATATATATACAGTACAGTATAGTACATACACACACAATGATCAGCCATAACATTATGACCACTGGCAAGTAAATTGAATAACATTGGTTATCTTGTAACAATCTGATGGGACATATTAGACAGCAGGTAAACATGTTATCCCTGAAGTTGATATAGTTTGAAAGCAGAAAAAATAAGCAAGAGTAAGGATTTGAGTGACTTTGACAAAAGCCAAATTGTAATGGCTAGACAACTGGGTCAGAGCACCTCCAAAACTAGAGCTTTTGTGGGATGCTCCCAGTCTGCAGTGGTCAGAACATTCTAAAAGTGGTCCAAGGAAGAAAAACTGACAAATCGGCAACATTGTCATGGGCAGCTAGGCTTATTGATGT